AGGACATCCACGAGTCCTACATGAGTTGGTCGGGTGCGTATTGAATTTGGAGCGTTTTTGTTCTGGTTCGAAACCGTCAGCTTATTGGGTGGAACATCCCCAAAACTATGCGTTCAATGATGTTCAATGATTCGAGATGCTTCGAAATTTAGGCTGCTCCTGGATTTCTTCCATCAGCAGTCGCTGTGGCTGCGGTTGCACATGGGACCGGAGGTCCCTTTGTGAGGAATCATGCGCGCATTCACATGAGGAATCGTCAGTTCATCTTCCCTTCATCAATTCATAAGTTCACATACGGAAGTTCTTAATAGATTAACATACTATATAATTTCAGCATTGCATGATATCTGATATTACAAAATACTAAGACTATATTCCATTATATTTCAATATATTTCCTAGCTCCACTATCGCGGGAAGGACAAGACTCTTGCTGCTTGCTTGCTAAGTGTTCCAGTACATACAGTAGCAAGCGGAATGGCTGGCCCTTCACTTTAACATACTCTCTGAGCGACAAGCTGACACCAGAAACATCATGGAACATATCATGTGTGAACCTGGCATCTGCACAATGGTAGTTTAAGCCAGCTAGCTCGCACAACCCACACCCATAAATAGGTGATTTTTTGGTAGCCCAAATCGATCGCTCGTGGCGGCTGAGAGAAGTGTTGCAGTTGTTGTGCTCACTCTTGACGAACATCTGCAGTATTTCACTTATCACCATGCCACCATGTTAAATCCAACATGTTCATCCAAGTCCAGCTCTCCCCTGACTAAACGAATCTGGTCGGACACCGTTTCCACCTATTCGGGGACCACATAGGACCGCCCCAAGCCACGCTGCAGCCGCCTGCGTCTAACTCTTGAGGACCCCACTGCGCATGATGGTTCATCAAATCCTCTTACGCCGGGCCACGCGTTCCGAGGGCCACGGGAACCGGGGCTATGCCGGGGACCAAACGCGTTCCGGCCCCGCGTTCGGAACGGCCGGGCCCGGGTCCGGTGCCTCGATGCCCCTTTTGGGTACCCCGGTGGGACCAGCGGAGAGAGCGGCTGAGCAGTCGAAGTGGGTCAGGTGAAATGGAAAAACCTTCTTAGCCGAGCATGTGGCTATGGCACGATGACACGAAAGTCACCAGTCAGCTGCAAAGAGAACACATGAGAATGCCATCGCCACTGGGAGATCGAGGGGCTATGAGCAGAACTGTAAGTTTCTGGACAGCGGCAATGAATTCTGGATACTGTAAGAAGCGTTCTAAATAGAGATTCCGAGGGGTTCAACATCTGTCTGTGGCCGATGGGAAGTTCGAGCCTCCGACAGAATGTCCCCAGCTCGCCAACACACGAACAAGTCCTCAGAACCCATCGAGACCCATCGACGTGGCGTCGTTCTTTCGCTCGACGTAACTTTTGTGGCAAACACACGGCGGCTCGCTTGGCGAGAAGCGCGGAGTCTCCTGCATGTGCAGTCGGGCAGCGACTCCATCCAACTTGGTGACGACGCCGTCACCGCGGTGGCCTTCCTGCCGCGAGCAAGGAAGAGTGCCCACCCTGGGCTGCGAAGCGAATTCCTGTGATGAAGGACGTCTTTCACAGGTTTGACATGGCTTGACCATGCTTGACCCATTTTCAAACACAATACTTTTATTGTCAGCAAATTCACACGACACAACCACATCATTGTTGTCACACCATCATCGATTTCAACACTTGGTCACGGTGATCAATCTCGTGACTTGCGCCCCCCCTCCCTCTCTCTCTCTCTCACTCTCTCTCTCTCGGCCTGCTTGCCTGGCTGGCTGTCTGTCTGTCTGTCTGGCTGTCTGCCTCCCTCCCTCCCTCCCTCCCTTCCTCCCTCAATCGCGTGACGCGGCGTCGAGCGCAGACGCTCTAAGCGCCCCACGACATCCGCCAGGGGATCTCCCATGGACTCCTTAGCGGCGACCTCACACTCCAATTGGCCAAAAGAGTGGTCAAAAAATGCTTCCCATGGAGAGATAGTTCAGGCAAAAAAACCAGCTGCTATCGGGACCACTGGACTCCGAGCTGCACATCAGGGGAAACCACCTTGATCAAGTCCGAGCAACTACGCAACTACCTTGACGAAAAGAAGGACGGCCCTGCCGAGATCCTCGGCGACCTTGCGAACCTCGTGGACTTGCATGTGTCAGACGGGTCTTTCCCATTCCACACCTCTCTCCACCTCTCTCCTCACCCCGACACTCGGCCTGTGGCATCTTCGAGGAGGCCATCGAGTCCATGGAGTCCAAATTGCCTCACGTGACGTCGGGGAACCCGACCGGGACCGGAAGCCGAGCGTCACCGTCACTGGAGTCGACGTGAGAAACGGATGTGTTACGTGTTGGGATTCCAACGAGCTGAATGTGATGACATGTTTCTTTCTTTCTGGTGAGCTATGGCCAACCTACTGCAATAGCAATGGCCTCCAACCTAGGTTGCAAAATGGTGCAACCAACATGTTGCGAAACAAAGCTGGGGCACAGGCCAGCTGAGAGTGGTTGGCGGTGGTCACCCAAATTGGGTGACTTTTGGGTGATCCCCGATGAATGAACCAGTGTCTTGGCTTGTGTCGTCGACCTGTTTGGAACCACAAATCAGGAGGCTTCCTCAGGGGCAAATCCCCTGATACATTGCCAGGAGCACCCGCTCTGGTTACTCTGGTTGTCCGGAGGTAGTGGGCTGGGTACAGTAGTCCATTGCTTCATCGGAGGGTCCAAGCAAAAAAAAGGCTTGCGTCTGATGATGTTTAGACTCGAATACATTGGACATCCATACATCTTGGCTCTGGAGAGGTACTCCTGTTCCACCTACTTTCGCATGCTCGAACAACAACATGCTGTTACACATCGAACAACTTTTGTTAATGCTGATGCATGACACGATAGAAACAACCTCTCTTCTTCGAACCAAACGGATTCTTTCTGCTTGTTTAAATGTCTTCCAACGATATAACAAAAATTTGATGGGTGGATGATTCAATGATTGTCATCTGGGAGATGATTCTCCAAACTGATCCTCATGAGACGTTTCACGTCCACCGCGACACTTCCGAGAGCCCACACTGACAGAACTCCGTGCCTGTCAGGCGTGCCGTTTTGGGTCGTGAAGAGTGATCATTAGGAGCCATGTTGGACCGTACAAGTGTTATTATGCTTGCTTGTTTGCTTGCTTCATTTGTTTGTTTGGGCTTTCTTGGTATTTGTTGCTCCAAATCTTCGTCCATCTGGGTGCGCGAAGTGAAGGGATTCATTCATTGCTGGTGGCTCCAAGTAGCTAGCGCAGCTGGTGCTGGGCTCCATACATCTGAGCTCTTTGCATGACCAGCCACCCCCCTCATCAGGCTTAGTTTCATTATAATAATGTCATCAAAAAATGCTCATGTTGATAGTATGTAGGCCATATACAACCAGTTTGGCGGAATGCCAATATGAGCTACGCTTGAAGCAAGGCACCGTGCGTCTGTGTCACCGGAGATAGACACTTCACCCCAATGAAAACCGCTCGAATAGTGTGGAAGTTCATGTTCTCTTCGCCACGCGTGGAGGCATCTCTTCCACCAGCTTCTCCCACTCCAACGCTCTGGTCCGATGCTACCTCTGTCTTGCTTGTGGCCAGGCTCCTCTCCGAGAGGGCCTCACCCCGAATTCCGCGGTACGGACGCGGTGGGGGAAAGCACCTGGAAAACCACGAGGGCACTTGAAAGAGTAAGGTGAAAGACATTGAACCAAAAGATCAGTGTACTGGTGTGAAGGAGTTCTTTCAAAGCTTTAGAGGACATAACCACACATATTTTGCTGGAGGTCCGCAATTGTCATTTTACATCCAATCTGGAGAGCTCTGCCCAAGTTGGTTTGTCTGATCATTTCTTGGGGCAGGTTCCAAAATGAGGGTGTCAAAAAAACCCTCGATATTCGGATCCAAATCATTCCAAATCAATCGAAATCCATATATTGTATCAAATTGTGGTGTTATTGTTCTTCTTCCTTGTCGTTTGACAGTGCTT